TCAGAATGAAAACTTGTGTATTGTTATAAGGGAAATAGAAAGGCAAGAATATTTCAAAAAAGGCTGAAGATGCCTGGTAGTATAAATCTTGGTTCATAAATGGTTTTGCTGTCTGGTAGTGAAAACATCTTGAATTCTGCTTTTGGGGTGTGTTGCAGTGTATTTGATGAGCTCTGATACAACACGATGTTGGGTATGAGAGAGCTTCTTAACCTTCCTCTTGTTCTTGAACCTCAGCAAAAGCGCAAAGGAGTGGAAGGGTTGATAGACATAGAGAATCCCAATCGTGTAATTCAGACAACCAAAAAAGTAACTCAGCTGGACCTGGATGGACCTAAGGAACTCTCGCGACGAGAGCGGTGAGTCTTTCCTGCTGCCTTGGCAGGAGCTAGTGCATTCCTGGAATTACATCCTTGCTGGTGGCGGCAGCTTAACACAGGGAAATGTCTCCCTGCTGTGTATGCGTTGGAGTTTCAGGGAAGCCCTTTAAGTGTGTTACTTCCTAAAGCAGACACTGAACAGCAGCAAACCGTCAGGCAGGAGTCACTATAGTTCAAAATGTCTTTCCTTACAAACTTCACAGAAGTTGTCTGTCCTCTGGGAGTAGCTGTGGCCATCCTGGAGCCAGGCAGCTTGGCCAGGTGCACTAAGAGAGTGAAGTCTGTTGCTGTGAAGCAGATGTAGACCATTCCTTTCCTGAAGTTTTATGCCAAAAATCAGACCTAACTGAAATCCATTAACCAGGGGTCACCTTGGCATCCGCTTTAATCTTGCTACAGAAGGTGCCCTAGTGACAGGTAGCGGTTTCCCAGATTCCAGGGGTCGTGGTGAAATTTTTGTCTGAGCAGATGAGTAAGGTGAGAACCAAAGTTTAATCTTCTAGTTTCATTTAGCAATGGAGAGTGTCAGAGTGAAAGATTTAAGCTTGCTTATTTGGGCTAGATTGCTTCAGCAGAAGGACACCTTTGAGGGTAAAGCTGGGGAAAAACATCATGGTGCTGTGCAGTCTGAGGCTAATTCGTTTAACCTCATTGTGTGTCAGTGTCCTTATTTAGCTGAACGAAAGTAGAAATAATCTCTCTCATCACCCCTGTTCAAACCCTGCGATAGATATAACCTGTGATGGAAAACTGGCGACAGGGCCCCCCAGTCTGTGTGGGCAATGTCCTCGCCATCCCTCCCAGTCAGAAAGCTCCCCCTCTCTGCCTGTACCTGCGTGCTTGCTTGGATACTCGGATGACTGGTGTGTTTCACTCACACAGAGAGGAAATAGAGAAACAAAAGGCAAAAGAAAGATACATGAAAATGCACCTAGCTGGCAAAACAGAACAAGCGAAGGCAGATCTCGCCCGACTAGCCATCATTCGGAAGCAAAGGGAAGAAGCTGCCAGAAAGAAAGAAGAAGAAAGAAAAGGTTAGAGAGTAATTAATCATATCCTGTTACTTTTCTTTGCAATGGGTGTACTGCCAAGGGGCATGATTTCTCATATCGCACATGGTAATCCCTCGTCTCCTGAGACTGTGTGGTGTTGCTGAGTGTCACTACAACTTCCTTCATCAAAACCAGGTTCACCTGTTTCATTCTTATAAAGCTCTTGCTTTATTAAGCTCTAAAACATCTGAACAGGGAAAGAGAGAAGGGAATTGCCCTTGATATCCATATTGTCGTCAGCCTCCCAAGCAATGCTTCCTCCAGTTTGGGAGTTTAGCGAGTTCCTTGTGCTGGGTGTGATTTATCTGCTTTGCATGCTGGGGATCCAAACTGCCCCGGGAATGTGCAGCACTCCTCCCCTGCCAGGACTTTCTCTTCAGCTCTGATAGGTGTGAACCAGAAGTCTGATGAACATGTGTTCTTAGTGGCTTCCACGGAGAAATTTGTGCATCAGCATTAGGTGATTTGTGGACGCCTGAAGAGAGGCCGAGGACAGGAGGGAACATGCAAGGGGAGCTGCTCCTCTGAACTCTGGAGGGGATCTGCCAGGGATTGGCAGGGGGGGGCAGATTTTTTCCTGTTGTCTCGTTGTACATGGCTAGCAGGATTTTGGTCGCTGGGGCTGTCAAACCACCGCCAGTCCCTGATGTGCTCTGTGAAATGATGAAATCTCTGTTCTTTTCCTCCCCCAGCAAAAGATGAAGCAGCCATGGCAGGTAAAAGACTGCAGTCACTATCCCTTAACAAGTAAGCACAGGACATGCAAGAGGAGGAAACGCCAGGGAACTGTGCCTGGTGCCTGCCAGGAACTCTGTCGTGTTGCATACCATCGATGCCACGTAGGGTGTACTGCGGCATCGAAGTCACCTTCACCTCCAAGAGACACTGATGATGTGTTTGTCTTCATCCTGGCACAGATTTCCATTTGGGGTTAGGGGCAGCTGCCGTCTTCGCTGCAGAACTGTGCTGAACAGCAATTCTCTGTAACAGTTTGGAAACCTGAATGTTTTTGCTGTTTTTAGGATTAAGAACTCATAGACAGGGGACTGGGCGGGAGGGAGCTGTGCGGGAGGGGAGATGCTTCAAATATTAGATTGCAAGAAAATAGATTGTGGGGTCATTGTGGGGTGGGGCATGGGGTGGGGAACTTTGACTTGCTAGCGAAGGCCCAAAGGATAATGTATCTGAGGAATCCCTTTGGGCAAATGGCCCGTAAAATTCTGCTGCAGGGTGTTGCAGTATAATCTGGGAGCATGACTTCATGGACATCTGGCGTGCTGTCCCTTCCTGGTTTCATCCCTCTTTTCTTGCAGCCAGTCTCCCCTTTTCCCTCCTCTTCATTTTTTTTTTTTCTTCTCCTTATTAGGGATAGTGCCAGTTTTTAACCACATCATCCTTTGTTTAAAGGAAAAAAAACAAACAACATTAATTGTATCAGACCCAGATGGGGAAAAAACTTTATCAAGTTTAAAAACCACCACCAACAGAACTTGTATATTTGGCTGATTAAAATGTAAATTATCATAACTGCTCTGTCCTTGTCCTGAGTGTGTGTAAATGAACACGAGTGTACAGGCTGCTGCTGAGATGCAAGGTGCAGTAGCAGTCTGGTGGTGTGGCGACTTCTAGGTCTGCTGCTTTGCTGTTTCTCTGTGGTGTTTCTGGTGTGGAATTTGGCTCGAGGTTCGGGAGCTCCATCAGCAGATGCAGCCTGAAGGCACAAAGCTTTTCCTGCTGCCTCTGATCGAGGTCTTGCACAATCTGATTACCCCAGTGGAGAAAACAATTACCCTCAGGCTGCTGTCCAACCTAGTCACTGTGTCAGGCGGCCAGCCCCAGAACTGTCACCCCCGTCAGCCGTCTTATTTCAGGGTGTAGGGCTGCTGGAGCAGGAGATGCTCTAACCCGTGCCCCAGGGAGTCCCGCTGTCAGCCTGCGCCAGGGACACCAGCGCTTCCCAGACTCGCTCGCCAAAGGCTGGAGGAGATTCACCCCCAGAGCTGAGGCGGGAGCTCTCGGAGTCGCTAGCAAAGACATTTTTGAGACAGAGGATATCTTCAGGGAGGCGTGCAAGATGTGTGGTACCAGGAGAGGTGCCCTTGCTGTCAGCTCCAAGAGGGAAGAACTGATACGGTGGGGACAGGGCTGACAGACAAAGTCCTTGGAGCACAGGGAGGCGGATGGAGCGGGGTGGCGGGAGGCAGGGGGCTGATGCCTGGGACGGAGCAGGGCAGGAGCCACGTGTGGAGGGGGAGAGAGAAATGGGCCTGTTCACATGGGGTGGGATGGGGCACACGTAGAAATGGGTGGAAAAATATTTTCCCAGTAGAACACGTCTCTAACTAACATCTAGACCAGAACCGGAATGTCATCGTCCCTTTCTGCCAGCGAGGACTCCCCTCCCGGGCTGCGGTCAACGTAAGGGCGGCTCTGCTTTGAGGGGCACCACCAGGACGGGCTTTAACCCGAGCTGTCACAGCGAGGTCTGATCCCGGGAGGAGCAACCACATGGCACTGCGCAGGTTCCTTTCCCTCTTGGTGATAAACGTAGGATTTCCCTCGCGGAGACGCTCAGTTTAAGACAGGGCAATGCCGGAGGTGGGGCCGGGCATCTTGCCTGCCCCGACACACCTGCCCTGGTACCGGTTCTTCTTCTGCCTTTGCCAAAGCCCTTACCAACCACTTCACCGTGATTTCATACCCTGTATGAAATGTGTCACCCTGCTCATTGTTTACCATGTGCAGTTAAACCCTGCTCTGAAATGTACAGCTTCTTACAGCTTCTTCAAAGGCTCCTCGGCACTCCCAGGAGCAGCTTTCTCCTCCCAGCGTGGCTGTGAGATGGGACTGCTCGTACCCCGAGTTAGAGATGAGGAAGGTGGAAGTCGGAGGTGCTCTGGTCAAAATAGCCCGGCAGCCTGCGATAACGGGCTGGGAAGGGGCAGGATTGGTTCATCAGCCCAAGGTTTCTGCGCCGGCTCCCCAGGCATGGGATTGCACACCTGACGGGATTTGGCCAGTGTCCAGGAGGAGCTCGGTGCCAGGAGAAATACGGGAAACCTGCACTCCCTCGCCACCTCCATCCTCTCCCCTCCCTTTTCTCTAATACCAGTCCTGGTTTGAAATCGTGCTGAAGCAGGGAACGGGAGGTGACGCTCCCCTTATCCCCATGGTCCCAAATCATCCTCAGAGCTGGCGGCAGAAAGGACGTGACCGCCCGTGGCGAGATGCGGCGCAGCAGCTGTGATGCGCTCTAATTGTGCACGTGTTTGCACTGAACTTGTTTAAAAAAAAAAAAAAAATCGGATTTATACAGGAAAATCCTTACTTTATTTGTTACTTCTTTAAGCGATGTATGACCAGCATCAGGTAGGATGGTAACAAAAATAGTAAAAAAAAATTGTTTTCTTTGCCTGAGAGCAGCCGCCGGGGCTGGCTGGCAGCCGGGGAAGCGCGCTGGTGGCATCGTGGCCAGCTTGCGGGGCACGGGGGCTCGCAGGGGAAAGCAGGCAGGCACAGCAGAGCAGGGGCAGGCTGGCAGCTGGGATGCCCTTCCCGGCTGGCTCCTTCATTTGATCTTGAGATCCTTCAGCGCTGATTCCAGGCTCTAATATGAAACGGGAGGTGGTTCATCATCATCTTTTTGCTTTCCAAGGCAACTGGAGGTGGCTGGGGAGCTAACGGGGGGCACAGTCGCAGGGAAAGCTGTCCCCTGGGCTGCCAATGCATCCCCGCAGGGAGGAGATCCCAACTTCGGCTGGTTTGGGCTCATTTTTCAAGCCGTGTAGCCAAAGCTGAAGCCAGGAGAGGGTGCTGGATCCCTGCTCAAGGCTGGCGTCACCCTCCCCCGCCCCGATGGTGAGCTGCGAAAGTGCCACCCAGGGGTGTCCCCTACCCAGCCCTGGGTTAAAGGAGGTCCCACAGTCCTGTGGGACCCCCGTGGGCAGGATGGGCCCCACCACCACAGCAAAGAGCTGCGCAGCAATGAGGTGGGGGGATTGCAATTAGAGCTGTGGCTAATGAGGGTTCAACACTGGGTGCTCCCAGCCTGGGGGGACCGAGGCATTGCAGGGACACCTCACCTTGACGTCCCAGATGCTCATGCCGCCGTCCATCCCCGTGGTGCAGAATTGCGAGCAGTTGGCCTTCCCGCCTGCCAGCACCGAGATCTGGCTGCAGGGTGCAAAGAGGTGGCAGGGAGTCAGCCCCCGGCCCCTGCCGAGCCCTCGGGGCTGCCTGGTCATCGGTGGGTGGGAGTAGGGCTGGATCCCTTTGTCTCCCCCACCCTTGTGCAGGGATGCTCCAGGGATGCTCTGGGGTTTTCCTAGCTCCCAGGGCTGGACGCCTCCATCTCCCCCACCCATGTGCAGGGATGCTCCAGGGGTATCCAAGGATGTTCAGCGATAGCCAGGGATGCTCCAGGGATGCCCAGGGCAGTCCCAGCTCCTGGGTCTGCACCCCTCCATCTCCCCCACTGACGTGCAGGGATGCCCAGGGATACCCAGGGTTGCTCTGGGGATGCTCCAGGGCTGGCCCAGCTCCTGGACTGGACAGCAACACAGCCAGGGGATGCTCAGGGGCCAGCACCCCCAAGCAGCCCCCAAGGCAGTCCAGCCGAGCCTGTCCCCCTTTTCTCCCCCCCAGTACACACCTGATGCTGTTCTTGTGCAGGGTGTCCAGCGTAGCATTGGTGGTGTCCGAGCTTGCCTTCTTGTCCAGGTTCTGGAAGCGCTCGCGGGCAGTGAGGCCGCGCTGGGAGCTCTGCTTGGGGACGTCCAGCTTCCCCCCGAAGGTCAGTGTGCCCTGGCTCTCCTCGTAGGTGAACAGCATCGGGTAGCAGTCGTGGCCCTGGGGAGCCAGGCAGCCCTGCTCAGCACCCTCCTGTCGTCTCCCTGTGCAGCACCCACCCCGCGTCCCCAGCCCAGACTCACCGCAGCCACCAGGCTGTTTTCAGTGATGAAGGTGACGGCCAGGAGGGGCAGGGTCTCGGTGCACAGGGAGGCGACGCTACGAGGGAGGGCAGGGCGTTAGCAGGGAGCCGAGCTTCAGCCTCTGCGCTGAGACTGGCACAGCTCATGGCACAGGTGGAAGCCTCAAGACCGCAAGAAGAGGATGTGCCACCTCCTCTGACCAAGTCTGCTTGCCCCTTCACCACCCCAATCCAGATGCCTCCATCCCTGGATCAGTTTTGGGGTCAACCCCCCCCCACCGCCCATGGCATGGCCGCTCCCCCCCCCCCACAAGCCCCCTCTGCTCCCCAGCTCTGCTTACGCCATCTTCTTGTTGGCATCGGCGAGGCAGAGGGTGCTGTCGTGGCTCACCCAGGCGACACGGGCACCGCTGGCCGAGAAGCAGATGCTGTGCACCCACCCGCAGCTGCTGCTCGACTCAAACATCAGCTCCCCAAAGGGCATCTTGGAGCCCCATGGTGTGGGGCTGGGCCGCTCCTCCACCTCCTTGATGTAGGCTGAGAAGATCCTGGGGCGGGGGGAGAGCCCTGCCATGTGTCCCCAGACACAGCACCGGAGCTACCTCCATCTCTCCCCCCTTGTGTGCCTCAGTTTCCCTGCCAGAGCCCATATCCCACAGGCAAGCCCGGGCACTGGGCTGCCCCACACACCTCTGTGCTGTGCCAGGGTGGGACCCCAACCCATCCCTGGGGGGTTCCCCCACCTCAGCCCCCCCCAGTTGCCCACCCCAGCCTGCTCCTCACCGGCACTTGAAGTCACAGGAGCCAGCAGCCAGGAGGACGTTGTTGGGGTGCCAGTCAAGACTGAGCACTGTGGAGCGGATGGGCTTCTTGATGTGTTTGCAAACCCACCTGTGGGGAGAGCGGTTGGCGTCAGTGGGGGAGCACTACACCCCTGGGAACCCCCTCGGGCTTTTGGAGGGCTGTCTGAGGGTGGTCGGGGCTGCAAGCACCCCAGAAGCTGCCCTGGGTGACCAGCCTGCAGCAGCAGCCAGGGCATGGGGACAGCATGTCCCATCCCCAGCAGCAGGGTTTTGGAGCGCCTCCCTCCATCTTCCCATCTATCTCCTCTTCCAACCCTTCCTCCAGCTCCTCTCTATCTCCCCCATCTCCTCCTACTCCTCTGGTCTCTTATCTCCCAATTCATGTCCCTTCCATCTCCCCTCCACCCATCTCCCCATCCCTCCCTCCCTCTCCCCATCCATGTCCCCTCCATCTCCCCCAGAACAGGCCCGGTGAGGCCATGGTTGAGCCTCACCAGTCGTTCTCCTGCTCAAAGTAGCAGATAGAGATGAGCCGGGAGCCGCTGCCCACAGCAAACTTGTTCTCCTTGGGGGACCACTTGACGCAGCGGGCGGCCCGGTTGATCCGCAGGATGACCAGGGTGGGTTTCCAGACATTGCCCTTCAGGGTCCAGACGTAGGCATTGCGGTCGGTCCCACATGTCACCAGCCGGTTGCTCTCAGGGGCCCAGTCGATGCCTGGAAGGCAGAGGGGGGTGATGGTGGCCAAGGGAGCCACGTGGATGGGGATGGGTCACTCAGGGCTGGAGGCCATTTGGAGGCAGAGTTGTTCTGGGTGGTCTCTGCTCCAGAGTCCTTCTTTGCCCTACTCCTACGTCCATCCCAAATCATCCCACCCCATTCCATTCCAACCCATCTCTTCCATCTATCTGTCCATCCCTTCCCATCCATCCATCCATCCATCCATCCATCCATCCATCCATCTCATCCGACCTCATCCCGCCCCCACCTCATCCCTCTCCATCTCTCCCATCCCATCCATCCCACCCCTGGGTGCCTTCTGACATGCTGGATCAGGGCCAGGAGAGGTAGACACAACCTGCTCCCTCTCCTCCACCCACTACTCAACCCCCATCCAGAAGCTGCTGGTGCCACCAGGTGGGGCTGGGACTGTTGCCAGGGCAGGGCCACCTGCCAGCCGTGTCCCTGTCCCCTCTGTCGACCAGGACTCACCTGTCACCTGCCCGTTGTGCTCCTTCAGCTCATGGACCTTGCTCCACTTGGCCCCGTCCTTGCGGTAGATGTGGACCTCATGGTTGTTGGGGCAGAGGGCGATTTCTGTGGGGTGAGAGCAGCCAGGGCAAAGCCCTCCCCTGTGTGGTGGGCTCTGCCGGGGGTGGGAGCAGGGCCAGCCAGCATCAACCTGCCCCTTCCTGTGCTCCAGGCTCAGTGGAGCATGGTGAGACCCCACTGAGCCCCATCTGCATGGTGGGGTTCCACCAAGGCCCCAGCCTCTGCCCTGTGCTGCCCCAAAGCTGGCCCTGCTCCTGCAAACTGCCCCGACAGGGAAGGGAGAAGCTCCTCCCAACCCAACAGCCCAGCGTCCTCCCTTCCCCAGCATGTGGTCCCATGGGATGGATGGGATGGGATGGGATGGGATGGGATGGGATGGGGTGGGATGGGGTGGGATGGGATGACTGCGGGTGCTCAGCTCCCATCCAGCCCCATCCTGCCCTGCCTACCCAGCATGCCAGCCCCAGCAGAGAAAGCCCTTTTTGTTCTCTCCCACATCCCCCACGCTGTGGCCGGGAAATGCCATCGGCCATGAATCACCCGGCTCTGCTCTCCTCTCCTCCGCAGTACTTTGCTCATCCCTCCCTGCGCCGGCTGCTGCGGTGCCTCGGAGCCAGACACTGTGCTGGCACCCCCTGCACTGGGCTCTGTCCCGGCAGCAGGACCAAGGGGATGCAGGGGGGACATGTGCCGTCCCCAGCCCCAGAATCTGTCTGTGGCAGGAGCTGCTTCCCCAAACCCAGCCCCGACCCAGCCCTGCCCCATCTGGGGCGGCATCACCCACTGCAGGGATGTTCAGCCAGGGCAGTCAGTACTTCGGGCCATCCCTGGGGATTTCGGGATGGGGTGCCCCAGCTGTACTTACGGGTCCGGTCCTTGTTCCAGGCATGGCAGCTGATGGGCTCCAGCAGGAAGCTGTGGTAGGCCATGGCTTGCAAGCTGGGGACAGGGCAAGACCCCCATGGCCATCAGGAGATGCTGCTCTGGCCATGGGGACAAGCCCCCTGCGGGACCCCCCACTCCCAGCCCCACGGAGCATCCCCTCCTGCCAGGATCACCGCACGTTACAGCCCACCACATCCTCTCTCTGCCAGGGAAGGGGTTTCCCTGAGGATTTCCAAGCTCGGAGTCTGCCCAAGCAAGGGAGAAGGGTGCCCCAGCGGGTCCAGCTCAGGAGGGTCCAGGTGGAGCTGGAGGAGACGTTCCCCACGGTGCTGCCCCGTGGCCAGGCACCCCACACTGAGTGTCCCATGGCCGGGTGCCAGATGGGTGCCCATGGCCAGATGCCCACAGCTGGGTGCTCCATGGCCAGGCACCCCATAGCTGGGTGCCACGTGGGTGTCCCATTGCCAGATGGGAAGCGGGAACCACTTCCAGGGACTTCCAAACTGTGCTGTCATCCTGCCCCAGCCAGGCACACGGGGACCCCGGTGCCAGCATCGCCAGTCCCGCGCACATCCCAGGGGTCCTGCCATGGGCAGCACCTCCTCCCTCTGACTGCTCCCACCAGCCCTGTGGGGCCAGATCTGTTTGTTCCCTCCCTGCCTCTCATTTAGGAAGAGCCAAACCCCATGGAGGCACCTCCATCCCATCCCATCCCATCCCATCCCATCCCATCCCATCCCATCCCATCCCATCCCATCCCATCCCATCCCACGTGTGCTCAGCCCCGGCAAGCCAGTGACTAATCCCTTCCCCTGGCTGAGCTCCCACTGCTCCCGCCAGCGCCCACCGACCGCTCCGGTGCCACAGGACGAAGCAGCTTCCTGCAAGCCCACGCTGGGTGCTGTGGGACCGGGAAGGGCTTGGAGCAGGGGTGCAGCCCCTTGGCCATTCAGCCAAGGTAAGGCAGGGATGTAGGTAGGGAAACACCTCGCCAGGGCTTGACGGACGGGGATTACTCACAGTTTGCCTCTCAGCTATTTTGGGAACTCCCTGAACACTGCCCGTTTTCTTTGGCAGCTAAAAACGGTACAGGGGAAGGAAAAAAATCCCTCCTAGCAAACCTCTGTCCCCAGGCTGGTGAAAAGAAAATCCATGGAGCTCCATCACCTGCCTTTCGCACATGGAGAATTCCCAATGCTGATGCACAGCCCAACCCCTGCTATCACACACCCCACGGCCGAGCCCCTGCCGAAACACCCGTCCTCACCAGCCAAAGACGTGGGCATGGCTGAGCAGGCAGCTGCCCAACCCCAGCCGCACCGATCCTGCCAGGGTTCGGCACGGGGTGGCCCACAGGAGGGTACAAAGCTGCTGCCACCGCATGCCTCTGCCCCAAGCCCTGCAGCCGGAGCTGCACCGCGAGTGCCGAATAAAATCATTGGCGAGGGGGGATGCTGCTGTTGGTATTGCAAAAGACGAGGAGCAGAAAAGTGTGAGAAATGGGGACCTGGCTGAAACGGCTCCCGGGGAGAAGGGATGAGAGGCAGAGCACGCTGTGGCACTTTCTGGCTTCGATGTTTGCTAAGAAAAGAGCGATTTTTTTTTTTTTTTTCCAGGTGGTTTGGATGCTCAGAGGCCTGGACCCTTCTCCCCAGGGCTCTTGCTGTTCACCCATTTAATGCCAGCCCCCGAAGGGACGGGCTCGGCTGCTGTGGCAGGGGAGCGAAGCCGGCCCCCCAGCCACTGCGGTAAGAAGCAAGGGCTGCTCGGCCATTCGAGCTCTGATCGCTCCCTGCAGCGGTTTACGTTTCATTTCCCCAGTGGCTGGTTTACGGCCAGTTCCCTGCTGATGCCCTGTGGGCTGAGCCATGCTCCCACCCGGGGGGGAATCCTGGGGTGCTCCGAAGAGCATCGGAGGGGCCGTGGCTATCCCCCTGCTCGACACAGAGGCTCTCAAGGGAGGAAAATGGGCATTTTCAGATGGCCAGACAGGGCAGGATTGGGACCCAATGCAGCTCTGTTATCTCCTCAGTCAGCCCTGAGGCGCCAAGCAGTTCGGAAACATCCTTGGAGGAGATAACCAAACCTTGGCAGGAGCCAAGCGCTGGGGGCTCCTCCCGGTCCCAGGGAGGAAGCTGTGCAACGGAGGAGCTGTATTTTCGTTTTTGCTGAGCCTGGTGGGGCAGTGGGAGGTGGGTTTATACCCGGTAGCGCAGGGACACAGTGATGGTCCCACCAGGAGCCGCAGGACCCCATGAAGCTGTCCCTGGCCACCGTGGTGGCCCAGTCCTCCTGCACCACCAAGACCCTGGCACGGACCCCTGGGAGCCCCTCTGCTCGCCGCGGCAGCTGCAGGGTGTTACCCCCCCAAGCTCCTGGCAGCCAGGCCAGGGACACCCTTCCTCAGTCCCCGACGTTGGTGTGGGCTACCCCAGGAGCCAGCCTAGCCCTGGGGGAACATCACTGCCCCAGGGCAGATGAAGAGCAGCTCTGACCCTCCTCTTTCTTGCGCTGGGTAAAGCTGGAGGCATCTGACGCCTGAGGAGGAGAGGACAGATTGCCGGCTGCTCTGGCTCTGCCAGCACCAAACCCCGCAGGACCCCCGCAGGACACCCTTTCGAACACCCTACAGCTGCTGGGCCTCCGGCAAGAGAATAAAACTCAAACTTGCTGCCAAAGCTGAGAAAAAAAAAAGCCCAAAACACAGCAAAAGCAGAAACTAAAAGCGGCAAGGAGCTGCCTGCACCCCCCTCAGACCCCAAAGCAGCCCCAGCCAGGGGTTCCCTGACTCCCCTCGAGCAGGGTGTGAGCACCCAGAGAGGTGATGGCCACAGCCCCCACGGGACGGACCCAGCTCCTCGCCGGGGTGGCAGAGCTGCCTCCTCGCTCCTTACCTTGCTGGGCTGCGCAGGCAGGGCAAGCAGGACAGGCAGGGCTAGTTCATGGACTCTGGGCAGTCGACACGAACGGCAGCCCGGAGCGAGCGGCGGGAGCTGCTGGCTGCCCCGTGGAGGCAGCCCGACTTCCCTTTTCCTCTCCGAGAAATGCAACCACTTCCTTACGTGGGCGTTGGGGGAGCGCAAAGCAGGCCCCTGCCTGCCTGCCTGCGAGCCAGGCCTCTCCGCCGTCGACGCACGTGGATGAGCCACTGGCCCCAGGATGCTCCCGGCAGTCCCCACTGCTCGGCAGGATGCGGGCAACTCGCCCCGGGTGCACCGGGGAAGGATGCAGCCAGGAGAGCGGAGGGGAAGGAGGCCCATCCTCTCCCTCCAGCTGCAGGAGGGTTGCTCGCTCGCCCAGTCCCCAATGGGTTTCGGGGGGATGGATGCAGCAGGGAGGTCCTGCCTGCCGGTGCTGGCCCGCAGCAGGCGATAGCTGTTGTTGGAGCCCACCCGGGGTGAGACGTACGTCGGCATCGCCTCCCACAGCCAGGGAGATTCACAGCTCGGCAGGACCCCACGGCGCCTGGATCTGGCCACCCTGAGCAGCACCTGCTGCTGGTTCCTGCATCCCACTGAGCCCAGTGGGACCCGAGCCCAGGCTGGCTGCAGTCATGGCTGTGTGCATGTACCCCCACCTACCAGCCATGCACCCCTCTATTTTTTTCCCTCCTGCTTCAGAGCAATTAATTTTTATCCCTTTCCCAGTCGGGCAGGGTAACTCCCAGGAGCTCAGCTCCTGTGGAAGTGCTGGAAGGAGAGATGGGCTTCAGCTTCTTGCTCCCCTGCTGCAAGCTGGCTGCAGAGTCATGCGTGGAGAGATGCACTCACCCCTTCCCTGCCCGAATAACATCACAGAAGCAAGACAGCAGCGCGTTGGGGTCTGGTACAGGGAGGGAAGGGCCCTGACGGGGCTTCTCAGCTGCAGGTTGTGGATACAATAACCTCGTATTTGTTGAGCTGCAGAATTAATCCCCGTGTGCAGGGTCAGCTGTAAGGGCTCTGCAGGGTGGCACTGAGCAGGCAGCTCATCTTGGTCCTCAAGTCCGTCAGCCATGCTTCACTTCATATGTGTTGCCATGATCCCATCAGACACACATGGAGATCCCGTGATGTCCCCAGAGGGTGGTGGGTCTCTGCAGCTCTGGTCAGGAGTGAATCCCCACGGTGGGAAAAGTCCCTCTCGGAAGCAGCGAGCTGCCCCGTCCTCCAGCGGCAGTTTGCCCTTCGCAGCGCCCAGCCTCGCCGCCAGCATCGCTGCTGCCCCAAATGCAGCAAGAGGGACGCAGCTCCCACAACAGCTCCCACGTGGCTGAAAGCTGCGGCTTTTTGAAGTTTTTCCTGCTGCCTGCGCATTTTCTCTAGTCCTCCTTTGGCTACGAGCTGCTCTGCCTCTGCTCTTCACCAGGAGAGTTCAGGCTTTCCAGGTGTCCGACCACTGCCTCCTGCACCAAGACCAGCAGCTCTCACCTGTGTGGGATGGGAGGACACAGGACAGGAGAGCATCCCTCTGCCCATCCCTTCACATCAGATCCCCTCCAGGCAGGGATGCAAATCAACGGTAGATCAGTTTAATTTCTGCAGTAGGAATCAGGGCATGTCATTAAGAGAAGAGAGGGGAGAGCATCACCCCCAGCACTGCCGGCAGCGTGGTTCCTTGTCAGCCATTGCATTTCCTCATCGCTTCTGGTCTTGAGGCTGCTCCTGTTGCGGCTTCTCTTTGAGCCTGCGCTACCGAGCACAGCGAGCTGCCTCCACCGGGGATGTGCTGGTTCTGAACACTGCTTGGGTTTCCCTCAGACTCAATAGCCCATGGGAGAATAAGCCAGTGCTGTGGAGGCCGGGGACGAAGGCTCAGCCCTGCTGGGTCTCTTGCCAGATCTGACTCAAGGTTTGGCTAAACCCTTTACCTGCTTTTGCCTCCATTTTCTTAAGCGGAAAAATCCTCCTGCATCCACGGCGGCATATCTTGTGATGCTCGGGTCCTCCGCAGAAAGGCTGTAGAGGAACCATCCCACTGCACGGATGCTGGGGAAGCCAGAACGGTTTTTTTGCTGGGGTTTTCTTTGGAGGTGGGGCAGAGGGGATGAAAAGCAGCAGCGATTCTGCAGCTTCTTTTCA